TTCTCTTTAATATTAATTTGAGGAAAAGATTATTCATTATTTGGAAGTTTAAGGGAAAGATAAAAATAATTGTTTATTATTTATATGTATAGGTCTGAATAAATTATTTATGATAATAAAATTGATTTCTTATTTATAAATATAATTTCAATTGTTACTTGTTAACACTTTGATCGTCACACCCCAACAATCTTAAATATTTCATACGATTAAAGTATTTTATTTAATCAAATTAAAATTAAGAAATCAAGTNATTACACTAGTTGTTTTTACGAAGCAATATAAAACAGCCGTTCTTAGAGCTCCGTAAACTTAGTGTTAAATACTTTTTCAACTTTCTTACGATTTACTGATTGCGTGGAATTAGGCAGATATAACAGATCTGAGTAAAAATTAATTTCCAAATCTGAGAAAATAATTTCGTCATCCATATATGGGTCAGTCAAAGTGTTAATTATTAGTAATAATAAATGGAAATTAATATCTATCGCACAATAAATAAAAAGAACACCAAGTATTACTTAGCTTTTCACCTAAATTCGAATAAAAAATAACATTTTATTTGCAAAACTAATGTACGAAATATCCACTGTATAATATACAACAAACGAAAGGNAAAATATCCATCGTATAATATACAACTGACGAAAGGAAAGAACAAATTATTTATCTTACTCTAAAATCCAAACAAAGAATAACATTTCATTTGCAAATTAGAAATAATAAATATATTATCCGTGGAATTTTTAAAAAGATTTTTTAATTAAATAACCCCTATATATTAACACGATAATAACGTTATAATCTTAAAATAACATTATCATTCTGACGTCAATTTTATATCAGCGTACCATTATTATCATATAAATGCATCAATAATAATTATGAAGTATTATTTATTATTGTACGGTATATATTGCATGTTATATCCGTTACTTGCTCGCAACTAGTTTTCTTTATATAACTCCGGTGTTGAAGGATCAGTCATAAACATCCAAAACGAACATCTTTAATCAGAAATGAATCGCTTCAGAAAGTTTTAAAACAACACGAAAGATGCGATTTAGTTCACCTAGCATGTTCAGATCACCATGCGCTGCGTTTGCCTATGGCTACTGTCGACAGGAATCCGTTACTTTGAGTTTCGCTACATTTTAAAGCAGACAGTGGCGAAAAAGTTGAACGGAAAAATGAAGACAGCATCACTCTACATGGGTTTGCTATGCCGCACGTCTTCTCCGTGCCACGTGCAGCCCACGGCTTAAGCGCGTGGGTGTCAGATCCTATCCGAACTAGCTTTCCTAGTTTGTGGACATGTCTGTCCTGGACGAATATGACAGTTAGTGTTGGCTGGGCTCACAGATATTTCGGAAAGTCGTGACCCTACGGGACGTTCCACCCCCCTGTCAATTATTCTCGTAAAACAATTGTTGCATCTTCAGAAATATTTTCAGAAAAATTTTCAGAAACGTCTGAACAAAAATCTTGAGAAAAATCCATTGATCTAGGGGAACTGTAGTTTCAATAATCTTTCAATAATTTACTGTAAAAGACAGGTTGCGAAGAAAATTATTCTGTCCTATATCCACATAATTATATTTGGCTGCTTTAAAAATAAGGACACTTCAATTATATGTATATTCCACATGTTTGACCAGTTTAACTAACATAACAATCACAACACTGAACTGTAAAATTTAAGTGTATTTTTTTAAGTGTACCAAATTTCTCCTCTTTTTGTTTCAATACATTTTCCAAAGCCTTTCTCGAAAATTATTAATTGTCGTACACTCGGTTATTGTAATTTCGTGCCACTCGTTTCCTAAAGTTAGTTTCAACTCATTCGTTGACTCGAATAAGGGATGGCAGTTCTTCTACCTTCGATAATAATAATTTTTATTCTTCGTTTTCTACCGTCCTCTCTACCTTCTTCTTTCCGTATCCGGTAGTCGATATCAGCGTCCCTCATTCCTCCCTCGCGCAATTCAATAAGTATAACCCGCTCTTTGTCGTTTTTCACTTTTAAGCTTAAAGAAGATAGAAACGTGCACGAACAACTACTAATACATGTAAAAACAAAATCGATTTGGACACTGAAGATTTTGCAGGAAAGAAGGAGCCGTTTTCATAAAGGGATAGAATCTTCCCGTTTTAATATGTGTTTACAATAAAAATGCGATTATACATATTCAATTATATCAGCCGATCGGAAACAATAGACCGATCCTGTAACAGTCAACACCTGTCTTCGTGTATTGTTAATTAAATGCAGCTTTGATAATATCGCTATTTTGCAGATTGGACATTGTCGCCGGAAAGTTTTGCAATTCATGCGACTGTTTGTATTCCAATGAATGGTTTCGTCGGATTTCCATTTTACGTGTGTGCACCAGCTTCCACGGAGCATCTATTATGTACAGTGAAAAGCAACGCAACGTAGTGCGACGCAATCTGATTGGCGATTTCATTTCAAACTTCCATTGTCACCAACTCGGCTCCTGTCTAACCTGTTACGCAACGGGGAATAGCGTCCTTCTATTCTAAAATGAAACAATTTTTAATCCTACTGTTGAGGATTCATCAGATGGATGACGGAGATCCTCTGAATATTGCACTTGGTGCCGACTAACTCGAAGGACCATCCACTGTAGTGGGACTAAATGAATTGCTAGTACTCTATTTGTAACGCGCAACCTAACCGTTACGCGTATCTCTCTATGTCTTCTGTTCTGTTCTGTCTGAAAGTCTAAGGTGTTCTCTTCTGAAGCTCTAAAAATGTTCTGTCCCTTCTGATGTTCTGTGCTTTCTGTGCTTTGGGCCTTACCTTACTCCCCTTCGTGGAGTCGGAAAAACCCCGGCCATCCCTTCCAATGTGCCCGAAGCACGTTGTCTCTGGTAGGGATGACTGCGTGGGCCGCTTGCGCTTGCGGGTGGAGGGGTGTTTGGAAAGGCCGGGAAAGTCCAGCTGGCCAGGATTGCCGATGCCGATATCTAGCGGCCGATTCTCTGGTCCCTTAGCCTTGGGGCTTTATGGTAAGGGTTTCCAGAACCTAAATGATGGCATGACCTTCATCATCCTAAAAACTATTTAATTTATGTGTCGAACCGGTCCGCTAAAGAAATTGCCATTGCCCTAAACGGATTACAAAAAACTCATTAATGGTCGCCCATACCATAAAGCCATTTCCAAACCTCTTACCTTAACAATAATACTATACTGTACACTATTATATATCACTATAATATCATATTTTGAAAGCTTTTATAAATATCGTTAATTGGAGATAATATTATACTGAAACTAAAATAAATTATTGCTGAACGATTGTGATTCTTGCGAAGATTTACAGATTTCGAATCTTCTACACTACTTATATTAAAGTAATCGAACCAGCCATTTTGCGTTTACCACGAACCTACAATATTTAGTATTATTTTTACATTGCTGCATCTCTATCTGTATAAAATTGTATTTTCTAAAATAATGTATTTTATAGTAGTCACTGCAGAAATGGTTCACTAACTAATACAATCTATTGTGAAATTAATTTCTAAATCTTTTGGAAGCTTTCTTTTGAATGTCTTTGCGATTCGCTGCTATTTTATTATTTAAGTAGTCAATATTTTCTTGTCTGGTTATGAAAATTATAGATATTAAATGTACCCATAAAATAAAATCTAATGGCGTCAAATCAAAAGATCTAGGCGGCCATTCGATAGATATTTTTCTCTTTCAATTCATTGTAGAAAGATTTTAAGAATCCTATTTTTCATTTTATCAAATATCCTTGCAAAACAAAAACTGTAACTAAAAATACACGTTGCTATTTAAAGGAACAAAGTTACCCTCCAAATAATCTTCAAAGCGATTAACGACAACAAGCAAATTTTTCTCGAAAATGTGTTGTTTCCGAGATATATCAGCAAATTAAAAAATTGTCTGCATTAATTACAAGATACTTGAGCAACGTAGACATCTGTCATATATTGCAGCTTCACGTAGCCCAACAGTTAACAGAGAATTTATGAATATATTTTTATTAGTTTTATTTACAGTTTATCCATTTCTTGTCAGTTTTAAGAATACCATTTCTTTTCGTCCTATTGTTTAAATTTCGTGTTCAACAATTTTCAATTAAATGAGACAAAGATAAGTTTACAAACATATTTTTATTAATTTTATTTATGAATTACATATTTTTCGTATTAATTTTAATATATAAAGAATATAAGAAGAGTATACTATTTCCTTTTGTCCTTTGTCGTACACGTCATATTATGCAACATTTTTTAAGCTTTTAGTATATAATGTAGTGAAAAAGAAATGCATGGTCTTTTTATGAAGCAAACAGACCCTGAAGTTGACACGGTGTCATACGATCACAATTAAGCAGAGATCCGTAAGATTCGGCGACATTGTTGCCATAAAAGACGTGCCAACAAGAACAGAAGAATGACAGGCTATTATCATAAACATTGTTCCTATTCTCGTTGTGCTTTATCAGGCCGTAAGGGACTTATCAAACTTCCCGTGATTGCAACTGTGTAAACTGGAAACCGCCGACCGCAATTCAAACTTTGCGAAAATCTGAAAATTTCGGACTTTTTCTTCGCATCGGGAGAGTTGAATGCGTTTCACCCGACTGCCTCGCTTTGCCGTTCGCGTACACATAGACGGGCTCGCATATATATCGTTGAATAGCGGTCGCCTGGCTCACTATATTTCTTCCCCGCTTTCTAGTTTGCCCTTCTATTCGCTGTTGCTCTGTTACGGTGGTATGCATAACGGTCGAGGATGCGCGATAATCGTTCGTAGGGGCTCATATTACGTCCTTCCCCGAACACGTTCGACGCTGCTCTGAAAATAAAGTGGTCAATAAATCCGACTTTTCATAACCGGGCACGACTGGCTCCGGGGTGTTAACTTCTTATTTGCACTTTTACACCATACCTCTTTCGACGCAACATTCTTTCAATCGCGTTTCCCGGAATACGATCACGTGCCACCGGGTTCGGTGCTGGTGCCCGCGGTACTGCCGGTATCGCCCAATCAGGAGCCATCACTGGAATATCGTTTATGCTGACACGTTCATAGACCATTTCGTAGAACTGAAACATTCGCATAATAGTTTAACGATTAATCCCACTAGTTACGAGTTTTCATATAATAATCATTTTACTCGATAAGTTAAAGCATAAATTAATCATACATTGTATGATTATAAATAGAGCGCGAATTTATGTCCAAAATAAAAATTGCCTGTGTTAATTGCAAGATGAAGAAGTTATACGCGTACATACATTTCTCAATGATTTTAATGAATTCAATATAACACGAGTTAAAGTAGAATAAATTGAAAATCGAACAATTTTATAAAAATTGGGCAAATACAAAATTCATAATAAAATTCATCGACGATTTCACAACCATCTTTAATAATAATAATTTATTTATGTATACATGTATGAGATAACTAATATTCGATAATTATCTTAATTTAGGAAGTGTCCACATACTCGTGGACGGGGGCTGATATGCATAAAATCAACAGTCCAATTATAACTAACGTCTGAAATCATATGTGTAAATAAAGTTACAAGACATTAACGAATATTAGTTAAAATAAAATACTCTAAGTAAAGTTGCTTAATTACATTCAAAAATGGTGTAAGTAAGAGTTTCTTGAAATAATTTAAACACTGTGTTTGGGTGCGTCGTATTAGCACCCGAAATCGTCACTTCGCGATTTGAACTATCTTTCGGGTCGTAAAACCGATTACGCTGCGCGACGGAGTAGATCGATATAGTTGTCCGTTTAATTAAAAAAGGTACAACTGTTTGGTTGACTTAGAATGTGCCGCTCGACAAGCGTGAATAAGATTACAACTGGATAAGTGTGAACCGAGCAACTGACAACTGACCGATGACCGACGAATGACTGAAGACTAAATGACGATGAACTGACGAGTGACCACTGACTAAAAGAAGAATCGGTTTCGAGTTTTTATACTATTTCGTGGACAGAAGACTAGAAATTGAGTGGCCAGTGACGCGATGGAAGGGGATGTAAAAGTGACGTAGCAGGGGGTGCCGCAGGTAGCAAGAAACCCTGGACGGGCGACCGAAGCGGTGCGTGCTAGTGACCCTGTCGTAAAAAATGCTGCCGATGAAGGTGTGCATTATTCAAAAGTGCAGAAATGGCTTTATTGCCGGAAAGAAGATGGCTCGAAAAATCATAAACTTAGAAATTGCAAGGAAGAAGGCTATGGCTCTACGAAATTGAAAACCTAACGAACGTGACCTTTTGTCGATTGCACGTCGTTCGTTGAAGGACTGTTAATTTGTCTCGTTGAGCCGAAGATTCCCCGTCAATAAATGTTTTTTAGGGATAAAAGGAGAAGGTAATTCGTCCCGGAGAAAGTTAGGCGGATGCAGCCCGAAAATTCCGTTAAAGGACGGAATACACTGTAATTTAACCACGTTTGATCCCGACAGGTACCATGAATCACTCAATGACTGTATTTATCGTGTCGGTCCCACCTGTACGTTTCATTCGTATGCAATCAGGCGTTTACAAAATTTCGTTTACATATAACGTAGTTCACATAAACAAAGCTCACGTGAACGGAGGTCTGATGTAATTCACTCCTCGTAGTGTAATTTGTTGCTGTCCTAATTAATTCCTCGTTTTAGCGACGAAATGAAGCTGTTTGATCGAAAACAGTACTAAAACTCTCCGAAATTGGGAAAATTTACTCAAGTAAATAATAAACAATTCTTGTTTTAACTAACACAATTCTTTCTCCGTGACGATAAAAATGTAGGGTAGAGAAGCCAATTACTGTGCCCTATTGGCTGATTTCAGGAGTTTTTGTTATTCAGCATTTGAATTGACATATCTTAAAAACTAAAAGATAAATTTCAACGTTTCTTTTATCCAGATAAATTTTATCATAAAACAAATATCAATTGTTCTATGAATATTAAGAGAAAGAAAAAAAGTTCTGGAGACAGTTACGTGTGCCTATGATCTACAAAGATCAGTTACTATGCCTCAATAACCGTACAGAATAAGAATGTAATATTTAACATACTCTAATAAATTTTATTTTCTATGAAAAACATGTAATATTCATATTCAGTCATTTAAAAGTTCGCATTAAAGATGATTGCTTTAATAAAAAATTCCATATTCATATTCCTTCTTTTAAAAAATACTACAGAGATGATGTAATATTTGAGGTTATGTTGACCTATCCTGTGGTACGCGACACAATAACTAATGCATCTAGCGAAAAATAGGATCACTTACTATGCACAGTAAATAAACTACTGTAATTGAAACTAAAAACAAGAATTCAAACAAATAATCACTATTTTACCAATAAAATTAACATTGTGATATCTTACTTAGAACGATTTATTTGACTGAATATTGATTTTCATTCGTTTAATATTTAATTAAGTATTTTCACAAGATTTATAGAAAATTTCGCGAATTCGGTATCAGAAAATTGAAATACTTTTTCTAGTATTTTGAAAACTTCCGTCTTTTATACGTTTAATTTTGACAAATGAATTGAGTTTAAAAAAAAAAGAATTAATACGTCTCACTCGATAATTATAAACTGAATTATACTTGAAAATAAACTAAAGGCACAGTAATTGGCTACTCCACAGTACCTAACTCCACTACGCTATTCAATTCGGATAACCGAGATTCGGTTAATTAATTACTCGAGTGCATTAGAATAATTCCAGCGTACGAGTAGCAGGATTGCGTGACAACGGCGTACACCAGATATCACCTTGAGTAATCTAAAGGCTATCAAAATCGAGTCCCATAACCCAAGGGTTGTCGCTATTGAGTACCCATTGAGTACCGTGACCCGAGGGTTACCGGTATCGACTCGGATGTCCGCGAGGTCACCTGTATCAGCACGCATGATCCGGTGGTTGTTATCCTACGGTGACACAATTGTTATCAGTGGCACCGGTCTCTGTATCAGTGTACACGATTCCGCGTTCGCGTCGCATAGCAATACCGGTATCATGGGTTGGTTAATGCTTTTAACACTCTCCGCGCTGTCGATAAATTCTTTTGAAATGCCCACGAGTACATGTACACACCAGATAAATTTGTAATTCTTTCGAATACCGTCTCTTCTCGGGCACCAAACCAGGCGATATTTGAACGAGCAGTAACATTGATAAATATTACACGGGAACAGTAATAATACTCGTACTTACTTGATATAAAAATTGATCTTGTAGAACACTTCGAGCGGAGCAACACGATCCACTAAAATTCACGTTGTTGAAAAATGAAATTGAGAAGCAATGGTGATGTTTTTCCGATTCAGAGGAGATTTTTTAACGAATAGACTATTTTGTGTTGGGGTTGATGGTAGACTGCCTGTTGTGTGTTGTGTGTTCTCGGAGGTAAACTCGGTGTGGGTGTGTTCTAAAATTGAGATAGTCGGATTCGTGGATTATTCAATTCTTGCGAGGAGTGAGGGAAACGGTCGTCCTGACTGATTGGTTTGCAAAATTATGAAAGTGACCGCCCCAAACTTAGGGTCGCCCGCAGGTAGTGCTCGTACCCTCGAGTGACGTACACGAAGAATCCGAGTGTCCCAAGGATTAGCCGTAGCAAGCAATAGCCCGGAAAATGCCTTTCCTCGGTGGAATATGCAACCTTAAAAAAACGGCTGCGAAATGATATTTGGTGACTAACTGTGAATCATAAAGGAAATACTTTAGTAGAGGACGAAACGGCTTTTAACCCGAGAAAGATAACCTACGTCGCAGAGGCGCCTGCGAAGACTGTTGATTTTTGTTAATTTTTCATAGAGGTCTAGTGATTTAAGTTTAAAATTACTTAAAATATAAAAAAATATAATATAAATGCATTTTATTTTTACAATAATGCCAAACCTTTAAAATGACTAGATTAACTTAAATAAATATCCATTGTTAGTATAAAATTGACGCCTTAGAAAAGCATGCGCCTCTGAAGCGTATGGTTATCTTTTACGTACGTTGTCATATGGTTAT